AGTTTTTCACGGTAGTAATTATTCCATTTCAATGAAACTTAGTACAAAGATGCTCTAGGACAATGTACAAACCTAATTAGTTTGGGGTAAAAATCTGTTCATATTAATTCCCTAATAAGCTTAATAATTCATAATTTTTTGGTTCTAATCACATTTCAATTAAACTTGGAGACATAGATTTTCTGTTACATTGCGCAGACCTCATTAGTTTTACACTCAAATGTGGTCATATTAATTTTCTGATTTGCATAATTAGTTTTCAGCTAAGTAATTTCGAATTATATTTAATGTGTCTCCAATACTCTCAGCACATGGGAGTTCTTTCTAAGCTTTCTTTGATTTTTTTTTAAATTACTTTTTTTTTTAAAGAAAAAATCATTTTTTTCCAAAAAATTAAAACAAAATACACATTTTATAATAAGTTATTTTATAATAAATTAAACTAACTTTTTTAAAACATGCTTCATGGTGACTAATTTCTTAATGGCAAAATCAGATGAATGTCTACATTTCACCAACCATTCTGCTTGTTTTGGTACAACGTTTTTTATTTTTATATTAACAGAAAGAATCAGAGCACATTGACATTGACCACCCAGAAGGCTCATTTTGTGGTGTTGATGTAGATAAAGTAAATATGACTAAATACCCTGGTTTAAAAAATGTGCCATGGTATACAGCAACAATGAAACCATCAGATTGTCTGTTCATTCCATATAAGTAAGTAGATGTACATATGTGCCATGGTATACAGCAACAATTAAACCATCAGATTGTCTGTTCATTCCATATAAGGGAAGAGTAGGAAATCAAACTCGCGGTTAACCGCGGTCATTACCGCGGTGGTGGTGGGTGCTCGCCGGTCGACCGCATTTTATGCAAATTTATGCATAGATTACATGACCCCGGTTTACCGCGGTTGTGTGCGGTAGGCTCGCATGGCAATTTACACCCAAGTTCAAATAATAAAAATCGAGTGGTACCAGAAGATTGGAAAAATCGTCTCTATTAGTTCGCAGAAGAACACTATTTTATTTTCACGAGTCTTGGTATAACATCGCAAAGCAATCCAGAATAATGTAGACCCCACATAATGTAAAATATTATCACATTATTTTGAATTTACATCATGTATGGTCTCAGGATTTATTTTAAAAGATTAATGTTTCGCGTATACAAATATAATCGGGCGAAGTATAAATTCCAAGTGTAAAACACTCGACGAGAGGCCGCAGTTTACGTTACCTCGAGACCATGCACTAAGTAGGAAAAGCAAGCCGAAGCCGAAGAGGGAGTGTCACACACTTGGTGCTACAATATATACTACAACAACTGGGTGATCAGCGAAAAAAATAGCGCACTTCTTGGCGAAACTGACTAATCTAATAAACCTTGGCCCAAGTTTAACCCCAAGTCACGCGCTGAACAAGTGGGTTGTTACCTTAGTGACCATTCGCGCTCCGCGCGTTGACCTTGTTATTATACACATCGCATTACGCAAATTTTTACTGGCTCTGCGTTGCCTACGTAAAAATTGTTACTGTTCTGGTTGTGAATATTTCACCATTGCCGACGTGATAATGCGTTGCCTTCGTAATAATTACGCAAACTTATTTTCCGTTGTCTACGTACTTGCTGTGATTATTTAAACTTTGCCGACTTGATAATGTGTTGCCTTTGTAATAATTACGCAAACTTATTTTCCATTGTTTACGTACTGGCTGTGAATATTTCAACTTTGCCGACTTGATAATGCGTTGCCTTTGCAATAGTTACGCAAACTTATTTTCTGTTGTCTACATACTGGCTGTGAATATTTAAACTTTGCCGACTTGATAATGCATTGCCTTTGTAATAATTACGCAAACTTAATTTCCATTGTTTACATACGGGTTGTGAATATTTCAACATTGTCGACTTGAAATTGCGTTGCTTTCGTATAATTTGTACAATTTATAACTACATGACTTAGTCGAAACCGCGACTTACAGCAACAATTAAACCATCAGATTGTCTGTTCATTTCATACAAGTTAGTAAATGTGCCATGGTATACAGCAACAATGACACCATCAGATTGTCTGTTCATTTCATACAAGTTAGTAGATGTGCCATGGTATACAGCAACAATTAAACCATCAGATTGTCTGTTCATTTCATACAAAGTAGTAGATGTGCCATGGTATACAGCAACAATGAAACCATCAGATTGTCTGTTCATTTCATACAAGTTAGTAGATGTGCCATGGTATACAGCAACAATTAAACCATCAGATTGTCTGTTCATTTCATCTAAGTTAGTAGATGTGCCATGGTATACAGCAACAATTAAACCATCAGATTGTCTGTTCATTCCATATAAGTTAGTAGATGTGCCATGGTATACAGCAACAATGAAACCATCAGATTGTCTGTTCATTTCATATAAGTTAGTAGATGTGCCATGGTATACAGCAACAATTAAACCATCAGATTGTCTGTTCATTTCATATAAGTTAGTAGATGTCCATGGTATACAGCAACAATTAAACCATCAGATTGTCTGTTCATTCCATATAAGTTAGTAGATGTACATGTACCATGGTATACAGCAACAATTAAACCATCAGATTGTCAATTATAGATGGTTTCATCAAGTGAGTTCATCTGGTAGAAATCTTGCTGTCAATATATGGTTTGCTCATTTGTGGTCATTCAATGAACATGATTGTAAAGAAGATTTACCTGATATGATGTCATTATCGGAGTTTGAATTTGGTAACAGTAATCATCAATTCAGGTGAGAATGAGTTACAAATTTACATAATGAATGGATAGTGGTAGTTTTTTTAAAAGTTATAGATACATTTGTAGGAGTACCTGCGCTATATGCATGTCCCAAAGGGCACTGTCGTCTGTCTCATAGGCCACTGTCACATGTCTCACAGGGCAATATCATGCGTCTCCCAAGGTACTATAATATGTCTCACAAGGCACTATAATCTGTCTCACAGGGCACTATAATCTGTCTTGCAGGGCAGTATATGTCTTGCAGGGCACCATTATACGTCTCACAAGGCACTATTATATGTCTCACAAGGCACTATTAGATGTCTTGCAGGGCACCATTATATGTCTCACAAGGCTCTATTATATGTCTCACAAGGCACTGTTATATGTCTCACAAGGCACTATTATATGTCTCACAAGGCACTATTAGATGTCTTGCATGGCACCATTATATGTCTCACAAGGCACTATTATATGTCTTGCAGGGCACCATTATATGTCTCACAAGGCACTATTATATGTCTCACAAGGCACTATTATATGTCTTGCAGGGCACCATTATATGTCTCACAAGGCACTATTATATGTCTCACAAGGCACTATTATATGTCTTGCAGGGCACCATTATATGTCTCACAAGGCACTATTATACATTGTACGTCTCACAAGGCACTATTATATGTCTCACAAGGCACTATTATATGTCTCACAAGGCACTATTATATGTCTTGCAGGGCACTGTTATATGTCTCACAAGGCACTATTATATGTCTCACAAGGCACTATTATATGTCTCACAAGGCACTATTATATGTCTCACAAGGCATTATTATATGTCTTGCAGGGCACTGTTATATGTCTCACAAGGCACTATTATATGTCTTGCATGGCACCATTATATGTATCACAAGGCATTATTATATGTCTTGCAGGGCACTATTATATGTCTCACAAGGCACTATTATATGTCTCACAAGGCACTATTATATGTCTCACAAGGCATTATTATATGTCTTGCAGGGCACTGTTATATGTCTCACAAGGCACTATTATATGTCTTGCATGGCACCATTATATGTATCACAAGGCATTATTATATGTCTTGCAGGGCACTATTATATGTCTCACAAGGCACTATTATATGTCTCACAAGGCACTATTATATGTCTCACAAGGCACTATTATATGTCTTGCATGGCACCATTATATGTATCACAAGGCATTATTATATGTCTTGCAGGGCACTATTATATGTCTTGCAGGGCACTATTATATGTCTTGCAGGGCACCATTATATGTCTCACAAGGCATTATTATATATCTTGCAGGGCACTATTGTATGTCTTGCAGAGCACTATTGTATGTCTCACTGGGCACTACTGTATGTCTCACTGGGCACATCATTTGTCTCACAGGGGGCTATCATTTATCTCACAAGGCACTATCACATGTCTCACAGGGCACTATCATTTATCTCACAAGGCACTATCACATGTCTCACTGGGCACTATCATCTGTCTCACAGAGCACTACTTTAATTTGCATACTAATTAACTTTTCAGCTTGTATTATTTTGTATCATAACAACAGTATTTCTATTGTAACAAAACACTTTTTTGTATTTTATGCATGCTTGGGAATTGGGAACATTGGGAAAATGCTGTCAGTTTAATTTAGGCAATTTTGGGTGAGTCTTGATAAAGTTCACTCAAGCTTGGTAAACACACAATGCAAAAAGTTATCAACTTTGTATCTTTTGAAGCAGAAAGACATTGTCTGTACAATGGAATAACATTTGTAGCATGTCTTTATTTGTTTGTTTTTCACAGAGGCGAAATATATGACCACTTTGATTTGTTAGGAATGTCATCCATTACAGAAGAAGTTTTACTAGAATATGTAAAAGATGAAGGTGGTAATACAGAAGAAGCTCTCAATGTAAGTGTCGCCATGTCAACATCATCAAAAAAATGCCCATCACATAAAAAATGCTCATATATTTTCTGTCTGTTTGATGTCACAGACATGAGTGAGTCAGTGTCAGCTTAATGCATTTCATATGTAAATAATATTTCCCAAAATAAACAGGTAAAAATAGCAACACTTTTTGGTTATGAACTTTTGTCGTTTACCATCTTAGAAATATCTCATCATCATTTCTTTGCAGGCAGAGTGCAAACACTTCTGCAATTACCACAAATTTATATAAAAGGTGCATAATAATTATGGTGATGTTTGTTTTTTGTTTCGTAGGCATTCCAGATGTTAGACAAAGACAAAGATAAGACAGTAACTTTTGATGAGTTGTTAAATTTTCCTGTTGAAGACTTTGCTCTGTTGTTTCCGTCGTTAGCACAAGATAGGAGTTCTGGCCCGAGAGAAGATCTGATGGAAAACGATAATGATAACGATCATGATGAGCTCTAAAACAAAGAATCACACTAAGTGCAGAATCTCGTTTTTGAAAATTGAGAAGAAAATTTCCCCATTATTCTATAGAAATGTGGGGAATTTTAAAAAAACTAATTTGGAATGTCTCCTCATACTGAGTACAAGGGGGTAGCTTTTTAATCATGTCTTGGCTGTATCACAAATGTAGTTACTTATTTCAGCACTCACTATTCTGGCTCAGTTTTCATTCAAATATACCATATAATAATTATTTTGTGAGAATTTGGTATAGTACTTCTGGAATAGTTGTGTTGTTGTTGTGTTACGTATCACATTGTTTGGAAATTCCAATGATGCTATTTCCAGTTAACAGATCAGACGATAGAGAAATTTATTTTGAGGGTGAAATAGATCAGAAATCATGCATATAATGTAAGATTGAGGATTCGTGATAATTAGGACCATGAAAAAAAGCATGAAGAAACGTCACAAATTGTACACACATCAAGAAATAAGCTGAGAAAGTTCTAATGACGTGATATGAATCCTATTAATATTACAAAATTAATTTATTGAGTTTACAATCAGATAATATAATTAATAATTAAATGCATTGTACTATGTTCTGTTGAATTCAACTCACTTGTAATAATAAACCAAAATAATTAGATTAACCAACCAACCAATCATAGTTCTGATCATCAGGTCTCAGTTATAAAACACTCTCTGTTTTGTTCACAGTAGTCATTGATTTTTGTACTGATTTTAGTATAATCCTGCGCTCCAATGTAGCTGAATTTCTAAACTAGTACAGTAATATGTAAAATAAGAGAATACAGACATGTCTAATCTCCTCTTCCTGAGAATTGCTTAGAGCAAATAAAAGCTGAGATGGGGATCTACTGTATTCTAGTGTCACCACCACCACACTCTAGGTGATATTTTGGCAAATGTGGTGGATTGGTTTTCCGACAAGACATTCAATGTTCTTGTATTATTAAGGAATATATTCACTCAACATAAGAGTTATTGAGGTTTTTGTATATATATAGGATTTTTATGTATTTATTACACAGTGTATATTTTAGATATAGATAGATATATTTGTTATATATGAATGATGATACATACAAAGCCAGTATGAGTTGAAGTGCTCTCGTTGATGAATTCACTTAGATATAGATATTGCATGAATATAGTAAGTGAATTCATTGACGAATTCACAGCAACTCACTGATTATGCCAGGCTAACAAGCTGATGACACCGATGTAATAAATAATGTGTTACGGTGGTTTTACATATTGTGTTTGGTATATATGGAGTTAGTGCAATTTAGGCTATGAAAATCTTACAAATTAACTATGTTAAAATGTATAAAACAATTGGATACATGGCAATTTTATACTATTGTTACATTGTACTGTAAAGCGCAAAATTTCTTTACACTGAGGTCATTTTTCAGTAGCAGTCAAGACGCAATATTTAAAACCACTATACATATGCTGTGATCTGACCAGAATTTGTAACTTTTTCAATTCATTTTATTTGTAGAGGGGATATGTAAAGGCATTGTAGTTTTAGTTATTTCAAATTGACAAGTGTGTAATTGAATGATGTATGAATTGTCTGAGATTGTGACATTTGAGGCTGTTTTTATAATTTTATCTTCAGAATACAATATATGGTTTAGTTGTCAGACTTAGTGCGACAAAACATCAAGAGAACTTGTGCAGGTTTAGAGTTGATCAATACAGTTTAATTAAAATATACTTTGTGATAAAATTAACCACTGATATACAATGTCATATGCGAAATAAATAATAGGGTAACATACCAAGTTTAAAATAAAAAATGTTTGTTTGTTATAATTTATGGGGTTAGTATGAGGTTATTTAGGATATACCACAAAGTAGGCACAAAGATAGCACAGTTGGAGTATCAAATGACACATAGCTGAGGTTAATGTGGTTGTTTACTGCCTGAATGTATACTTCATAATATTCCCTTAATAGCCTTATTTTTTATACATATTCCTAATCCAACTACTTGCCAGAATGGACCAAGTAAATGCAGCAGAATCTTTCCATATTTGGAATTTGCTTTTCTTAATAAGGTAACATGCAGATACTCATTGCAATACATCATGCTGTACCATGACAGATGTATAATAATACTGGACTGTATGAGGGGATTCATTTAAAAAAAAGTTCCTTTATTATAGTAAAGTTGTGTATAAAATGGTTGCTAAGAGGCCGAAGTTATATTTGATTTTGGCAACTATTGGTCGGAAAGGAGTGAAAGTTACATGGAAAGTAGAAAACTAATTTGCAGAAGTCTGCTGAAAAGTTGAATGAGTCATGTGTAAAGTTAAGAAATTGCATGCAAAGTGGCTCAATTAAGCTAAAATAGCAAAATATGTGCAAATTACCAAAAATTGTTTTCAAATTTGCAAAAACTAGCTGGAAAGTCAAAAAGTTGTGTATGTAAAGCTAACAAATTTGTTGCAATTTTGCCAAAGTTTGTAGGGAGGTCGAAAAAGTTGTTTGCTAAGTTGCCAGAGTTGGCTGAAAATTAAAACAAATTGTTGAAAAACTTGTATGTAAAGTTTTTAAAATATAGTTGCAAAGTTACCTGGTAAGTCAATAAAGATGTTCGCAAATACAATAGTTGTAAAGTTCAACAATTAGCTGGAAAGTTCAACAATTAGCTGGAAAGTTCAACAATTAGCTGGAAAGTTCAACAATTAGCTGGAAAGTTCAATATTTAGCTGGAAAGTTCAACAATTAGCTGGAAAGTTCAACAATTAGCTGGAAAGTTCAACAATTTGCTGGAAAGTTCAACAATTAGCTGGAAAGTTCAACAATTAGCTGGAAAGTTCAACAATGAGCTGGAAAGTCAAAATAGATGATTGCAAACTACCAAAAGTTAGTTAGATATCAAAAAAATAGTAGAAGTAGAAATAGTAGAAAAACCTGTGTAGGGTTTAAATAAAAGGTGAAAGTTAGAACGTACCAAGCTAAATTTTACCATACAAGCTTATTCCGTGCAGACTGGTATATATGCGCATGCTCATAACTATTTTATAGAGAGTAATTTTCTTGTCAATTTAGTCTGAATAAACAAAGCCGAATTGTCATAATTTGACAAAACTTGATTGATTTTTCAGCTAAAGTTGGCAACTTTACGAGCAATTTTTCGTCTTTACATGCACATTTTTTCGACTTTCCATCTGACTTACAGAATTTTGCAACCAATTTTTCGACATGGCACGCCATATTACCGATTTTCGAGATGACTTCTGAAGTTTTGCAATAATTGAATTGAATTGCCAGCTTATTTCAGAAAATTTACAACCAATTTTTTGACCCTGCACACAATGTTTTCGACTACCAGTTAATGGTGGCAACTTTGAAACCAATTTCTTGACTAAGCACACAATTTGTTTTTGTTTTTTAAGCTAACTTTGGCAACTCTCTCGTTCGATTTCTCGGTCTCGGCCTTGCGCATAATTTTTTCTATTTTTAGTTTGTAACTTAGTTTCCGACATTCAACCAATTTTCACAACATTGAAAGTCTGTGGTATCTGCACATTATAGATGTGTTCACATGCTTAAATGCTTGGGTGATTATTACTTGCAAACAGTCAACTGTTCTTGTGAAGAAATTTATTCAAGATTAGTGTCCATGATGCTCTCAGAAAGCTATATAGTGACAACAGCAGAGAATTTAACTTATCAAGCTTTGTTTATATGAGGAACCCCAATCCACCATCAATTTTGATAGACAAGTCTCCTGCTTTGGGAGGTACCAGAACAAGTCAAGTACTTGGTAAGCACACAACCGCCTTATATGCAGCACGACAGGCTTTTACAGAGGCTGAGTGTTCAAATGGTATACTAAGAGCATTGGTAGAACAATGTTATGATCAATTAATTTCTAAAGTTGAAATAGACTGTGTTTTATTTGGGTAATGAGGATGGAAATGTTATAGATTATTTAGCTAGCCATGTAGATAACTTTATACACGGGTGGGATTTCCGTATTTTAAACTACAGTGATTAATCCGTTCTGAAGTAAGGAAGATAGTTGCGTGTACTAATAGTTTTTTTAAACGTCTAACATTTGCACTAATCGCCAGGCCAAGATAATTGTAAAACATTAAGAATCACATTGCACAACTTTGCACGCTGTTTTAAGCTTTAGAGCAATTACGTGCCGACTACCAAAACTATGGGTACATTGAAAGGACGTCCACATTTTAAAACTTTCAATCAATCAACAATCAAAATAATCTGCATGAAATTTTACTATAAATGTTTAACATCGCAGTAATAAAGAAAACACAAAAGATAGTTACGTGTATTTTCCATGACAAGATAACAAAATTATATTTCACCAGCTTGTTTTGTCAGGTAGTCTCCCATGCAAGTACTTATACTTGTACGGTCATATAATGTTTGGAAATGATTCGAAATTGCTACAGTTTGAACGTGTTTATTTTTTGAGTTGACCTATGACCTCTACATGCTGCAAAATATAATACGGTAATTCAACGGTCATTTATGACATATTGATTCATGGTTTTGATTTTTTAACGATGGGTTACGATATAACAACTCAGATCACATTTCCATGTAAATCTGCCAACTTTGCAATAATGTTTCACAACTTTGTACGCAGTTTGTTCGTCATTTTACGTTTTGATAGTGTTAAAATCTTCCAATATAAGGGGCTTGTCCAACAATTTTCTTCTAAATTTAGCTGCGGGGACGATATCACAATGACTTAGGTCATTTATATAAGCAATCCCGCCAACTTTTCAATTACTTTTCATATCCTTTTAGGCTGTTTTTGGACATATTACGGTGAGTTCATATGACAGTCTGCTACAAATCCAGATTTTACTTGGATTTTATTCATTTTTTCTACTTTATAGCTGTATGGTGCGACATGACAACAACTCAGGTCAAGTAACCACGCCAATCAACCAACTTTGCAAACACTTTGCACAACTTTGCACGCTGTTTTAACAGCTTAGAGCAATTATGTGCCGACTACCAAAACTATGGGTTTATTGAAAAGACGTGCAAATTTTAAAACTTTCTAGAAAATTGAAAAATCAAAATAATCAGCATGAAATTTCAGTATAAATGTTCAACATCGCAGTAATAAAGAATACATAAAAGATAGTTGTGTGTCTTTTCCATAAATCTGACAAGATAGAAAAATTATATTTCACCAGCTTGTTTTCTCAGGTAGTCTCCCATGCAAGTAGTACCAACGCCCGATTGACTTTAAATATATGATGGTCCGATCACCTGACCAATTAGCTAGACAGACATTCGATTTACATCGAATTAACGGTCATAAACTGTTTGGAAATGAATCGGCATTGCTACCGTTTGAACGTGTTTATTTTGTGAGTTGGCCTATGACCTCTCAATGCGGCAAAATATAATACGGTAATTCAACGGCCATTGATGACATATTTATTCATTGTTTCGAATTTTTAACGATGGGTTACGATGATATAACAACTCAGATCACATTTCCGTGTAAATCTGCCAACTTTGCAATAACTTTTCACAACTTTGTAAGCAGTTTGTTCGTCATTTTACGTTTTGATAATTTTAAAATCTTCCAATATAAGGGGCTTCTCCAACACTTTTGCTTCATTTATTTCTAAATTTAACTGCGGGGACGATATCACAATGACATATATTCAAATATATAAGCTATCCCGCCAACTTTTCAATTACTTTTAATATCTTTTTAGGCTGTTTTGGGACATATTACGGTGAGTTTAAATGACAGTCTGCTACAAATCCAGATTTTACTTGGATTTTATTCATTTTTTCTACTTTATAGCTGTATGGTGCGACATGACAACAACTCAGGTCAAGTAACCACGCCAATCAACCAACTTTGCAAACACTTTGCACAACTGTGCACGCTGTTTTAACAGCTTAGAGCAATTATGTGTCGACTGCCAAAACTATGGGTTTATTGAAAAGACGGGCAAATTTGAAAGTTTTCTAGAAAATTAAAAAATTAAAATAATCAGGGCGAAATTTTAGTATAAATGTTTAACAGCGCAGTGATAAAGAATACACAAAAGTTAGTTTTGTGTCTTTTCCATGAATCTGACAAGATAGAAAAATTATATTTCACCAGCTTGTTTTCTCAGCTGGTCTCCCATGCAAGTAGTACCAACGCCCGATTGACTTTAAATATATGATATTTTTCTTTTATTAAAAGACAGACCCACTGGTCTGCCTTGTTACAAAAATACATGTTCGCAATAATAATACAATAAAATTTACATGGATATAAATTCATAATACTTAATTAATTTTGTAATGCTTATTATTTATAATTTCAAAAAATTATTTGAAAACTGTGTGGCGTGACAGCTGTCATTAATACGTCATACCTCCATTCAAAAAGCTCAGTTTCTTTATTAAGTTCGTACATTTTAAAATCAACTGATATTTTGTGACTCAATTTTGTTCGAAATAGTTCAAGAGCTAATTTATATTTGTCATTAGATTTATAGAACCCGACGAACCGAGAAGTGTCACTTAGCTGATCAAAATTTTCATCGGGAAAGATTCTTGTCAATATCTGGCCAACATATTTCCATAATGGTAAAATTGTTCTGCAGGAAATAAACAAATGAACAATTGTCTCCCTCTCTGTTGTACAGAAATTGCAATAATTGTTGTATAAGATTCCAATTCGGTGCAGTAAATTATTAGTGAATATTGCATTATGGGTAATTTTAAGTCGTTTTCACCAAAGGAGTTGGGCTTTATACCTCGGTATATATTGAACCAGACACTTTGAAAATTT